GGCAGCTGATCGAACATCCCCGGCATACACATTTCAGGCAGCGACCACCATCCCCTTAACAACAGCGGTCAGGAGCTGACACAAACTTAGGACCAAAGTTCGCACGAGAGCCCTGAACGCGCATGATCGAAACAGTCGACCGCGCAGTCCGCGCTGAAGACGTCGAAGCTCCAAATGGGGCCACGATCGCACCGCTGCGACCCCGGGCCAATACACTTCTCTCGCGAGCGAGTCCAAAGGACTGCCTTAATCATGGAACTCCACAACAAGCTTCCCACGCGTGACCGTTGGCGCGACAGGCCACCACGTCTGGTGAGTCGGGAGCACAGTTCCCCCGGTTACCCCCCAGATCGCAAAGCGAGGTCTCCTTTGGGATGCCGTTTGTCATCGATCGCGTGCCCAACTGTGACGTGACCGAAAGGTCAGACAAGTCTCGAGGCTGTCTGGAAGCGGGTCCTCTCGGCTCGTCGGGTACCGCCGACATGGGAGACATCCCCAGCGGGGGAGTCAGTCTCCACGCTGCTCTAGGGCATAACGCCCACCTCTGTAGCTGACGATGGGAACACATTGAAGCGAGAGCTTCGCTAACATGGTTACCGACAGCCGATGGCTTCTTCTGGCACGCATCCGCGCCGGCAGCCCCAGGCGGCGGTCCACTATCACACGTACTCGAACCACCATGTAGGGTCTGCGCGGTCGCGGTGTCAGGAGCCGAACGTGGCGTGATCCCCCTCTTTCCGAAGAGACGGAGACCACGCCGTCCGACGAGTCGGAACTGATCACGCAGCCCTGACCCACTGAGGTGGGTAGAGGGGCCTTCGGAGGGGCACTGCTGCCATACCGCTCCTGCTGGGCCTGCCCCACGGTCCCGTCCGCCCGCGGGGGACCCCTGCGGCCGGCAGTCCGACTTGATGGGGAATCTCTGGACGGTGCTGAACTTTGCACTTAGTTCGCTGAGATTATGCGAAGGACCCGCGACGGCACCGCTGACATAGTCAGCTGATCCCGTCACGAGGATCACTTTTTCCGCATCTTGTACGCAGTGAAGACAGTCAGGGAAAGCGGGCCAGGTCGGATCCTCTACCATGTTGTAATTAAACACCCCCGAGCGCTAGTGACATAGTCACGAGACCCCGTGGTGAGTATTTCGGCTGGTAACCAGCAATTTGTCGAGCAATACCAATGTGGAGGATACTGTAAGATTTCTCATGCTACGTTCAGACATTGAGCGGACTGGGGGGGTCTGGTGCTGGGCCTCTGCCTGATGCGGCTGTTTGCACCAGTGCCTCCTACGAGGGAGACACCACCTGCTTGAAACAGGCCCCCAAAAACAGCCAAGATCTACTCCATGGGGGGCGGCGAGGCAGGGAGCGAGGGCCCGCGCCGATCGGCAGAACAATGAACACGAAAACGGCAACATTCGTATTCGTAGGCATGTGTTGATGGTGGTATTGTTGTTCATCTTGTACTCGTATCTCGCATAGTACGTGGTCCGAGATTGAACCTCGGGGTTGGGCACCTGACTGTCGACATGGCTACGGGTTCCGTTAAGCCATACTGCAATAGGTGTCTACAGACCTGGCAGGTCAAGGGAAGGGAGGCCAAACGCGCGAGCGGGCCCTCTTCATCATACAACAACAAAAAAGCTGCATGTATCTTATGTATGTTGATATCGGCGCCACCAATCTTCTGTTGGACGGTACGTGGCGGCACGGAAAAGGGGGCGAGGGGAGCGTTGCTAATGACTTCCTCCTACTGCTCCTCCTCCTTCTCCTCATCATCATCAGCAGCATCACCATCAGCTGTTCATCATCAACCAAATAATCAGCATCAGCATCAGCATCAGCATCATCATCAGCATCATCATCATCATCATCATCATCATCATCATCATCATCATCGTCGACAGCATCATCATCATCATCATCATCATCATCATCATCATAATCATCATCAGCATCATCATCATCATCATAATCATCATCATCATCATCATCATAATCATCACCGTCATCATCATCATCATGATCATTATCACCAGCATCATCATCATAATCATCATCATCAACATCATCATCGTCTTCATCATCATCTTCAGCAGCATCATCATCACGATCAGCATCATCATCAGCAACAGCAGCATCAGCATCAGCATCGTCATCATCATCATCAGAATCATCATCACCACCACCACCACGAGCACCAGCAGCAGCAGCAATAGCAGCATCACCCCACCAGGATCATCAGCATCATCAGCATCAGCAGCAGCATCATCATGATAATCTTCACCACCAAGACCATCATGTCATCATCACCATCATCATCAGCAGCATCATCATCAGCATCATCATCATCATCACCCTTAGCAGCAGCAGCAGGAGCAGCAGCATCACCATCACCATCACCAATCATCATGAAACATCCCAGGTCATCATCATCATAATCATCAGTATCATCATAATCAGCATCAACATCAGCATCATCATCATCATCGTCATCATCATCATCATCGTCATCATTGTCATCATCATCATCATCATCATCATCATCATCATCATCATCATCATCATCATCATCATCATCATCATTATCAGCACCAGTAGCATCATCATCAGCAGCAGCATCATCCTCCTCATCAGCATCATCGTCATCAGCATCAGCATCACCATCAGCAGCAGCATCACCATTATCATCGGCAGCAGCATCATCATCACCCAGCATCACCATCATCAGCAGCAGCATAATCAGCAGCAGCGGCATCTGCATCAGCATCAGAATCATGATCATCATCATCATCATCATCAGCAGCAGCAGCATCAGCATCAGCATCATCATCATCATCATCACCATCATCAACGTCATCAGCATCAGCATCACCATCAGCAGCGTCACCTCCATCACCATAATCATCATCATCCTCAACAACATCAGCAGCAGCATCATCATCACCAGCACCATCAATAGCAGCATCGTCGTCATCAACATAATCATGATCATCGGCATCATCGTCATCATCATCACCCTTAGCAGCAGCAGCAGGAGCAGCAGCATCACCATCATCATCACCAATCATCATGAACATCCCAGGTCATCATCGTCATAATCATCAGTATCATCACCATCAGCATCAGCATCAGCATCATCATCATCATCATCATCATCACCATCGTCATCATCATCATCATCATCATCATCATCATCATCATCAGCACCAGTAGCATCATCATCAGCAGCAGCATCATCCTCCTCATCATCATCATCGTCATCAGCATCAGCATCACCATCAGCGGCATCATCACCATTATCATCGGCAGCAGCATCATCATCACCCAGCCTCACCATCATCAGCAGCAGCATAATCAGCAGCAGCGGCATCTGCATCAGCATCATAATCATGATCATCATCATCAGCAGCAGCATCAGCATCAGCATCATCATCATCATTACCATCATCAACGTCATCAGCATCAGCATCACCATCAGCAGCGTCACCTCCATCACCATAATCATCATCATCCTCAACAACATCAGCAGCAGCATCATCATCACCAGCACCATCAATAGCAGCATCGTCGTCATCATCATAATCATGATCATCGGCATCATCGTCGTCATCATCATCATCATCATCATCATCATCATCATCTGCAGCATCCTCAACATCAGCATCAGCAGCATCATCACCACCACCATCATGATCATGATCACCATCACCACCACCATCATTATCATCATCACCATGATCATCATCATCATCATCATCATCACCATCATCAGCATCACCACCACCACCACCATCATCATCATCAGCATCATCATCATCAGCATCATCATCAGCAGCATCATCATCAAAATCATCATCATCATCATCATCATCATCATCATCATCATCATCACGTGAACAACGTTGCTGTATCTGGTTCGTTCTGGGGTGTAGCGTGTTGGAGGTACTCATTTACGGCATCCACGTGTTCCGTAAGCTTCAGCCGTCAGGTCTTATGGCCATGCCCTCCGATCTGTTTCTCTCAGCGCTGGCACATCCAGAGTTCGTCGTCGAGTCCTTCCTTTTCGCCGCGGGCTCGGAGAAGGTCAGCGTCAAGTGTGATTCGCTTCGCGATAGATCCATTCCATTCCATTCCACTCCTCCTCGTCCGCCTCCTCCTCAACCGAGATGCGGTTCGGTTAGTCACCCTGGAAAGTCCTGGGGTCGCAATGCTCTTGCGTCGGATTGTCTGGGCCGCGGGTCTGCCAGCCGACAATGGCGGTGCGACTGGGTGTGCGTGGTAAGCACCCGTCCCGCCGTGACGGGCGGGTGAAATTGGCCACCGCCGTGTGCGGTGCTCCTCGGGACTCCAGGGCCTCCAAACTCGGCGTTGATGAAGTTCTACGTCTGGACACTGCCCCGTGGTCGGTGCCAGGAATCGCCCTCGTCCGCGGGCTCGCGCTGTCCGGGGACTCCTCCCGTGCCTCGGCCGAAGAGCTGGTGCAGCGGGCCTTTGACAGGAGGAAGCGCGTACCCCACGACCCCGACGAATCGAGGGGCGAGTTTGAACTTTTTGCTTGCGCGTGCGAATTGGAAGGCCCGATGTCAACTGGTACTGACTCCTCCTCCTCCTCCTCCTCCTCCTCCTCTCCTCCTCCTCCTCCTCCCGCCTCCTCCTCCTCCTTTTTTTGCCCCCCCCCCCCCAAAAAAATGTGTATTACCATTAGTAAATATAATGACGATTGTCATTGGCATTCAGATTCGAACTCTTCCTGTCATTATAAATATTATGAGTACGCTTCCTCTAATTCTCCCTCTTAACGTTATGACTATTACTGATGTCCCTCCTCCCTCGCGCCCTCCCTCCCTGCTCCTCCTCCACCTGCTCCTATTCCCCGTCCCTCTCTCTTCTCTCATCTGAGCCCCTCCCCTGAACGACCTCGGAGGACATGTTCTGCCGATCTGAGCGGGGGGGCAAAGCTCCACGACTCTTCCACGGGCGGGCTGGGGGCCGCGCCGCAGCTGATCAGCGACACCTCCTCCGCGGTCTGGACCAGGCACTCGTCCTTGGGCAGCCTGGGCGCCAGGAACTCCCACGAGGTTCTCCTCCTCCTCCTCCTCCTCCATCACTTTCCCTCCTCCTCCTCCTCCTTCTCCTCTCCTCTCCTCCTCCTCCTCTCCTCCTCCTCCTCCTCCTTCTCCTCCTCCTCCTCCTCCTCCTCCTCCATCACTTTCCCTTCTATCTAGGTAGCTCCTTCCTGTCGCACCCCCCCCCCCAGACGTGTCGGTAAGGCGGCCAGGGCGTTTCGCCTGAGACCTCCTCACTGCGTATGGTACGGAAGCTTGAAACGTACAACAGCTTCACGGATGGAAGGTGGGTCGCTTGCACAAGAAAGCCTCTCGCCTCACCGACGCGCACATTCGCCCTAAAGTTTGCAGCAGCTTCAAGGATTGAGGGCGGGCCGTTTTCAAAATATGGCTCTCGCCATAGCGGGGCGCACATTTGCCTTAAAAAAGCGAACCGCTTCTAGGATGGAGGCCAGTTCTAGTTCAATATGCGGTTCTCACCTTAGCGCCGCACAAATTCGTCTAAACGTGTGCCAAAGGTCGGAGGCTTCGCAGGGTTCAAGTCCCAGGAACAGTGTCCTGCCACGATTACGACTGTCAGGACGCAATAGTCACATTGAGTCGAGGTGTGTAAATCCTAAGTATAGTGTTCTGGTACGATGTAGGGTTGTAATAAGGACAACACAGCTGCATTGATTCGAGGCGTTGATGATCAACAGAATGTGTTTTGGCACGAATGCGAATTATCCGACGGTTGCCTTCCGATAGGGCACTTCCCGCTCTTCCTCATCCTCCTCGTCTATCCACCTCACCTATGTCGTAGTATCGGTTACCTGCGTCGAAATATCATCATTAATATTATGTTTAGCGTTGTGATGGTTCGTCGTCTTACTCGTCGTACTCGCAAGAGTAAGTTTCACCGTAGTAGTAGTAGTAGTAGTAGTAGTAGTAGTAGTAGTAGTAGTAGTAGCCGTAGTATTTGTGGTAGTAGTAGTAGTAGTAGTAGAAGTAGTAGTAGTAGTAGTAGTAGTAGTAGCCGTAGTACTGGTAGTGATGATGATGGTAGTAGTAGCAGTAGTGGTAGTAGTAAGATGATTAGTAGTAGAAGTAGTAGTAGTATTAGCAGTAGTGGTAGTAGTAGTAGTAGTAGTGGTGACAGTAGACGAAGTGATCGCAGCAGTAGTAGTAGTAGTGGTAGTGGCAGTAGTAGTAGTCGTCGTAGTCGTAGTCGTAGTCGTGGTCGTAGTCGTAGTCGTGGTAGTAGTAGTAGTGTAAGAGTAGTAGTAAGAATAATAGAAGTGGTAGCAGTGCTAGTACTAGTAGTACTAGTAGTAGTAGCAGTAGTAGTAGCAATGGTAGTGGTAGAAGTAGTAGTAGTAGTAGTAGTAGTAGTAGTAGTCGTGGTACTAGTAGTGGTGATTAGTAGTAGTAGTAGTAGTAGTAGTAGTAGTAGTAGTAGTAGTAGTGGTAGTGTTAGTGGTAGTGGTGGTAGTAGTAGTAGTAATCGTGGTAGTAGTAGTGGGAGTAGTAGTAGTAGTAGTAGTAGTAGTAGTAGTAGTAGTAGTAGTAGTAGTAGTGGTAGTAGTAGTCGTAGCCGTGGCAGTAGGAAGCGTAGTAGTAGTGACAATAGTAGCACTAGTAGTCGGAGTGGTAGTAGTCGTAGTAGTCCTCGTAGTGGTGGTGTAGTAGTAATAATAGCAGTAATAGTAATAGTAGTAGTAGTAGTAGTAGTAGTAGTAGTGGTAGCAGTAGTAGTAGTCGTACTAACTAGCTAACTACTACTACACTACTACTACTTACTACTACTACTAACTAAACTACTACTACTACAACTAATACTGCTACTGCTACAACTACTACTACTACTACTACTACTACTACTACTACTACTACTACTACGACTACTACTACTGTTCCTACTACGACTACTACTCTACTACTAACTACTATACTACTATACTACTTACTACTACTATCTACTATTAACACTACTACGTAGTATTCGTTAGTCGTTCCTCGTAGTGGTGGTAGTCTTAGTAGTCCTCGTCGTGGGGGTGTAGTATTAGTAGTAATAGCAGTAAATAGTAGTATAGTAGTAGTTAGTAGTGGTACTAGTCCTACTACTACTACTACTACTACGACTACTAACTACTACTACTACTACTCTACTACTACTACTACTACTACTACTACAATAATAACTACACTCTATACTACTACTAATACGACTACTACTACTACTACTACTAATACTACTACTACTACTTCTATTGCGACGACGACGACGATTACTACTACTTCTACTACTACTACTACTACTACTACTACTACTGCTACTACTACTGCTACTACTACTACTACTACTACTACTACTACTACTACTACTACTAGTACTACTACTACTACTACCACCACTACTACTACTACTACTACTAGTGCTACTACTACTGGTACACGTCGTCGTAATAGTATTGGTGGTAGTAGTAGTAATGGTAGTGGTAGTGGTAGTGGTAGTGGTAGTGGTAGTGGTAGTCGTTGTCGTAGTCGTAGTGGTGGTGGTAGTGGCAGCGGTAGTGGTAGTAGTAGTGGTAGGAGTAGTATGAAAAGAGTTTCAGTAGCATCAAAAAGAGTAGCAGTAGTGGCAGCCCCCGCATCAAGGCAGCGCTGCCAGGGGGGTGGGAAGGGCGGGAGCGAAGGGAAAGATGGCCAGAAGGGTGGAAAGGGCCCCCAGGCAGGACGGCGAGGTAAAGGCAGGATAGCAGGCAGGTAAGAAGGGGACAGGAGGAGGGGGCGGGAGGAGGAGGGCGGGACCGCACTATTTTATGTTAAACGAGAAACCAACGCAGGAGAGCTAAGGAATAATACCACGCGGCGCACATCTGCTGATCTTAACCTGGCTGTCTCAAGCCTTAAACCCTCACGATTATGTTCAAATACTATGTAGTTATCAACATCCCGATCGCACCTCTGCTGATCTCAACATCGCCTTCTGAAGCCCTCAACCTTCACGACCCGATGCAAACCTGGCCAGACAAGAACGGCAAGCGCATGTATGCGTGAAACGCGTGTACGCGGTGACGTGCGCGTGCTGTATGTTTACGTCGTCGCTGACGTCGTCTTCTGCGCCGATGCATTTTCTTTCGTAGTGGCACCCGTCTGCTTCATTATTGTCGTCGTCCTCGTGCTCGTCTTTCTCGTCGATGTCGTCGTCGTCATCGCCGTCGTCGTTGTCGTTGCCGAGGGCAGGATTGACGGGAATTGGTCATTTGCTATGCGCACAAATCCTGGTGTCAGAACGCTGGACCAGGTCGCTTTGCGATCAATTTGCCAAGCGGTTGCATTCTGTGCACTCGCGAAAGAGGAATGGCGGCACGTTGGCGGCTGTCCAGAACGACGTCCGCGTCTCCGTCGATTGACCCGCATGGCCGCTGGCACGATGCGACGCACATAGCTCAGCACCTCTGAAATGGAAAGGCTCGTTCCACCACAAAGAAATCCACAACGGGTAGTTCTCTCGCTGGCTACACGTGTTGTATAAGCACGTCGACGCCTAGTTCGGGGGTGCCAGAATGCGACGCTGGCCGAAGGGAGTCCGGGCCTCCCGCACAGCAGCAGGTGAGTCTTCAACCGTCGGGCGCAAGCGCCCGAGGGTTCAAGGAAGACCGCCCGCAGGGAGCTGCCAAGACGTCCCTGGCCCAACGTCGATTTTGGAAACCCCAGCCTGTGACGGTAACGTGTCCCGGAACAGGAAGATGCCGATGTCGACGGCATCGATGAGGCTGTTGACGTCTGTTTGTGTGTCCCAGTGAGTATTTCCAGATTCGGCCATGCAAGCGGCCACGTTTTCTCCAAGACGCTGCAGGCGTACCACGCCGTCTGGTATGCTGAGGAAGCCTCGAGCGATTGCGCGATTCCCATACAAATCGCAAGGACATCCGCAGCGAAAGCATAATTCCTGAGTGTCGAGGGCGCGGCGTCTGAAAAAATTGTGAAGTCCCACGCGAGAGCGCAACTCCTGCATACATTGTGAGGAAGTCCCGCGCGACAGCGCGACTTGGTAATACATTGTGGGGAAGTATCTAGCGGGAGCCGTTGTTGTTGTTGTTGTTGTTGTAGAACGGGGGCCCCGGGCGCTGTTTGGTGACACCTCGTGTTCCTTTGTAAAAAAACGCGAGCCCATAGAGGAGCACTTTCATTAAAAAACATCGATGGTTACCAGGAAGTAAGAAGAAGGGGATCAACAATAATTACTATTCAGAAGTGAAAAGTCAACATCATCATCATCATCATCATCATCATCATCATCATCATCATCATCATCATCATCATCATCATCATCAATTTCGTGGGCAAGCCCCCCGCGGGACGCCTATCCCCCCCTCTCCGACCCTACACCCACGGTGCCTTCGAGAAGCGGCGTCGGGACGAAGGGCTGTTCCCGCCTTATTTTATATGTGTATATATATACATATATATATATATATATATATATATGTATATGTATGTATGTATGCCTCTCTTTCTCTCTTTCTCGTGTTTTCTATGTCTCTCTCTCTCTCTCTCTCTTTCTCTCTCTCTCTCTCTCTCTCTCTCTCTCTCTCTCTCTCTCCCTATCTCTCTCTCTCTCTCTCTCTCTCTCTCTCTCTCTCTCTTTATATGGCTCTTCTCGCTCTAGTACCATAGCCATTAACCGCATCATCGCCGTCATCATGCACACCAGCACCATTATCACCATCCTCATCGCACCATGTCCTCACCGTCATTAGTCAGCAGCTGAATCATAATCACCACCGCCATCATCAGAGCACCACCACCAGCATCACTATCACCCTTCCCCACTCCCATCGGCCTCACCACCACAGCCAACCACACCACTCCCCATCACCAGAACCACCACCACCACAATCATCATCATCAGCATCATCATCATCATCATCATCATCATCAGCATCATCAGCATCATCATCATCATCATCATCATCATCATCATCATCATCATCATCATCATCATCATCATCATCATCATCATCATCATAATCATCATCGTCATCAACATCAGCATCATCATCATCATCTTCTTGTTCCTTCCCCTCCAACTCTTCCGCGTCCTCCTCCTCCTCCTCCTCTCGCTCTCCCCATTCCTCCTCAATCCTCCTCCTCCTCCTCCTCCTCCTCCTCCTCCTCCTCCTCCTCCTCGTCGTCTTCCTCCTCGTCGTCGGCCGGCACCGGAGCGCCGCGCGCCTGGTCCCCCGCTCGGCGCGGGCCCTCGAGGCGGACCGCAGCGCCGCGGCGAGGACGGCCAGGGTGGTGACCTACCGGCAGGCTCGCGCCGGGGAGGGTCGATCGAGGGGGGGGATCGAGGAGAAGGGGGAAGAGGGAGGAGAGGGGGGGGATCGAGGAGGGTCGAGGGGGATGAGGGTCGAGGGGGAGGAGGGTCGATGAAGGGGAGGCGGAAGAAGAAGGAGAGGACCGAGGAGGAGGAGGATCAAGAAGGAGGAGGAAGGAGGAGGAGGAGGAGGAGAAAGACCAAGGAGGAGATCGAGGATCGATGAGGAGAGGGAAGAGGAGCAGGAACCGGAATTGCGGGGGGGCAGTGAGAAGCGAAGCATGATGGAATAGGATCGGATATTTCCCATTCGGACTGCAACTTGTTCGCGCCGGCGCTGAGCCAAACGTCGACACAGCATCCCATGTCAAGTCAGGATTGCACGGGCGATAGGACAGCTCTGGGGAGCAAAGCCAGAACTGTCCAAACCTGCGTGCAGTCCCAACCCAGCTAGGACACACCGCCACCATCTGACCGGAAAGCGTCGGCACGGGACGGCTGGCGGGCTCACCGACTACATCCGGGAGCTCACCCGTGCTCTCAAGGCTGGCACTTGGCACAGCTCACGCGAGTGTGGTAGGTTGTGCTCACCCGTTGCCAGGTCTGTGTATGAGAACTCCGAGCTGCGGACTGGCTGCCCGAAAGCCTATAGCAAAGCCAGGCGAAGGATTAGCGCGGAGCCGTGATGGGCGAGAGGTGGGAAAGTGGAGCAGCCTAGACCAGATAGCATGGGAGATGGGAGCCAGGAAGGGTGGACCACGACGGGCGCGCAAAGGTTCGCACTGCCGCCTCGCTCACAGAGTCGTAGAGGTCTCTGTCCCTGTCGGCACTGGCTGGCGACGCCTCTAGCGAACGGCCTTCTGGCTCGGCTGCTGGCGCCTCGCCTGTGGCAGCCTCGCCAGGCTCATCGGCTCGAGGCCGTGGCCCGTGGCCCGCGGCGGAGCTTGGCCTTCTCGCCTCCCCTCTGTGTCTTCTTGGGATTGGCGTCCTCGCTCTTGTCCTTGTCCTTGTCTTGTCGTCATCGGCCTTGCCTTTGCTCTTGCCCTCGCCGTTGGCCTTGCCCACGAGGTTGGCGCACCCGAGGGGGCTCACAAGTACCAGGGGGGCGGTGCCACGGCGGACCGGCGGCACCCAGCCTGGTGGGAGGTGATCGGATTGCGGTGACCGCGCGTCCGGGCGCGAGGGGCTCATGGAGCGCGGGCGCACCGAGCCCACGTGGGCGGCCGGTGCTGCGCCCGATGACTGCGCGGCGCCCCGGACGTCTGGCCAGTCGACCTCCTGGAGCGGGTCTGGGCCGTACCCCAGCCAGCCACCGACTCCGAGGAGCTGCCAGTGGCGCCGGCACGCCTGGCGCCCACCCGAGTCCCAGGCGTGCTCCCAGCGCTGGTGCACCTTGTGGGCGAACAGCAGCGCGCGCGTCGGGATCTGCTTGCCCTCGAACGTTGGACGGCGCGACGCTGATGTCGAACCTGAGACCACGTCCCGCGACTGGCGGCCCTCGCGCGCAAAGGCCGCGCGCACGACGGGCTCCATCACCTCCGAGGAGTACAAGCACCACCTCCAAATCTTTGCAAGGATCGTGTCCGAGGGGCAACGCGTGTGGATGCGACCCTGGGCGCGCTCGCACGACGGCGGAGAGCAGCGAGAGCTGCGCTGGCTCCTGCGGCCACGGCTCGTCCTCGGGCGAGTAGGACAAGAACTCGTTGCGCGCACCTCCGATGGTGGCGGGGGCGCCTTGCTCGGCGGCCCCATGCCGCGGGAGCTGCCAGCCAGTGCCGCGCGGGGTCTCGGGGGGCGGGGCTCGCTGACGGACCAGGCGGCGAGGAAGCCATCGCAGCCTGGCGGCGCCGGTGGCGCGAGCGTGGCTCCGAGCGCGGCTGACTGCGAGACCGATCTCGAGCTGCCTGGCCGCGAAGCAGCTGGAGGAGGTCCAGAGTCCAGAGCACGGGGGCGGCGCTCATGGACACTCGCGGCTGGCGGCTGCGGCGCTGATACCCGGGCGGCCTCCAGCCTCCCAAGGCCGGGCCTAAGGGCATCATTGGCGGCATGCCTGGCGGGCACATTGGAGCACTCACGAGCTTGCTTGTTGGGTGGCGGCTCCCTGCGCGGCGGCGGCCGCCTGGACTTGCGCAAGTCCTCGGGGGCACCCGCTGCTGCCGGCGCTCGACCGCACCGAGCGGGCGCCTGATCCTCCGGCGATGGGACTTCCGCCGGGGAACTCGAGGCCTGCACCATCGGGACCGGCGCGAGTCTCGCGCGGGCCCCGCGCGGAAGGCTCCGCGCGCCAGCGGCAGCCGGCGCGCGATCGACGACGCCAGACGGTGTGGTTGCAGAGGGTGTGGTCTGCAACCCGCACCCTGGGGGGCACCCAGGGGGGCGGGCGAGGACCTTGGCTGAGCTCTGCGCCGCGCCCCGACGTGGCCCGACGAGCTCCTCCTCCTCCTCCTCCCCTCCTCCCCCTCCTCCTCCTCCTCCGCCCTCCTCCTCCTCCTCCTCCTCGCTCCTCCTCCTCTCCTCCTCCTCCTCCTCCTCCTCTCCTTCCTCCTCCTCCTCCTCCTCCTCCTCCTCCTCCTCCTCCTCCTCCTCCTCCTCCTCCCCTAGGCCCCAACGGCGCCGATGGCAAACCACACCGTGGCGCAAACATGTTATTTGTATTCGCCGACGCGAGCCCGCGCGGGAGGGGCTCCGCGCGCCAGCCGGCGCGAGAGCCGCACGCTGATGATCAGAAATGGACGCGGACCCAACGCATACTGCACGTGCACATACATCACGACGTTCCAAATCATGTGCCAACACTTCGCTTGCTGCACTGCCGTGCCAATATCTTTCCTGTTCCAAGACAGCGCTGGGACAATATGTAGACGTGTTTGTCCTGACCAATGCACACTGGGGCTGCGGGAGCTTCGAAGTTGGAGACTGGGTAGAGGAAGAGACTCTTGATCAGGGCGACTGAAGCTGCTGCCGCTTATCATAGTCCGTCTGGTTGTTTTCCCCCCCCCGATGAGCTGCGGACGCTTAGACAGGCTCGGTAGCTCAGGGTGACCACTGAACGCCGCACCTTTTGAAATACCACAGATGCTGCATGACGGCCAATCAGCATGGTTCCACCACCGAGACGCATCCTTAATTCACTTGCAATGCCACGCCTGCGCCTCATCCAGGCGCCTCCTTTGGTAGCCCGTCGCACCTCGGCGAGGCAGCGAAGCCATGGAGGCACCCGCCGGGGAGCGCCGGGGAGCGGCAAGGGACACAACGGAGTGGGCCGCCAAGAGCACGCGCGGTACTGGCTGAGGGAATACCAGACTGAACAGTCTTAGCACTGGCGTCGGACTAGAGTTATCCACTGGTTTCGCGAAGGATCAAAGCATCTTGAGCCAAGATGGATACGGACGAGGAGGAGGAGGAGGAGGACGACGACGACGACAAGGCGGGAGCGCCCCCTAGGGGCAAATGCGGTACCCAAAGGCGGAGGGAACCCTCCCAGGGGGACCAGCCCCAGCGACGCCGCCACCAGCGCCCCGACCACGGAGCGCTTTCTGCGCGCGGGAGCGGGTTGCGGCGCGGGGGGCGCGCCCCCTACCACTCCCCCACCTCTTCCTCCCTCCTCCTCCTCCTCCTCCTCCTCCTCCTCCTCCTCCTCCTCCTCCTCCACCTCCTCCGCATCCTCCTCCTCCTTCTCCTCCTTTTCCTTCTCCTCCTCCTCGAACCCTCGTCTTCCTCCTCCTCCTCTTAGTGGGCTTACTATTATTAGTACGTAGCACCCCGCAATTGCAGATAAGAGTGAGGAGGCGGGCGCGGGCGACGCGGGCGTCGAGCCGGCGGACCTCGTGGCCCTCACCTTCCCTGTCGATGGCGCCCCGAGGCCCCTTAATTCTGGGCGCCTTGAGGCAGCTTCCCCTGAACCCAGGCTTTGGGCACGGATGCCGAATTGCAACAGGCAGCTGGATGTTCAATGAACGTGTTCAGGCACAGCCCCGCCGCAGGCGCCGATGTGCTGTTGTAGAGTCAACGTGAGCCAGATCGGGGGAATGGCACGAGGGCGCTTTCCCAAACCAATGCGAGCAAGCCCGCCGCAGGCGCTGATTGGCATGCTCTGACAAGTTCAGCGCGGGGGGGATTCCTGGTGGGCCACCCAGAACGAATGCAAAAACAGCCCGCCGCAGGCGCCCAATTTTTGGCTTGTTCAGTGAACGTAGCTTGGGTCGCGGGTGGGTCGCAGGCTCTCCACCACCACCTGGAAGGAATTCAAAAACAGCCCGCCACAGGCGCTGGAAATTTAAATTTGTACACTGAACGCGGTTTGGGTCGCAGGTTCTCCACCTGGAACGAATGCAAAAAAAAAACCCGCCGCAGGCGCTGAAATTTTGGTTTGTTCAGTGAACGTAGTTTGGGCCGCGGGTGGGTCGCGGGCCCCCCACCTCCACCTGGAAGGAATTCAAAAACAGCCAAAAAAAAAAAAAAACGCCGCATGCGCCGAAAAATTTTGATTGTACATGCCGCGGTTTGGATCGCGGGTGGTCGCAGGGGGGGTCTCGGGGTGGGTCGCGGGTGGTCGCGGGGTGGTCCGGGTGGGCGCGGGTGGGTCGCGGTGGGTCGCGGGGGTTTCGGTCGCGTGGGTCGCGGGTGGGTCGCGGGTGGTCGCGGGTGGGTCGCGGGGTGTTCGCGGGTGGGTCGCGGGCGGGTCTCGGGTGGGACGACGACCACAACAAACAACAACAAACAAACAACAACACCAACAACAACACCAACACCAAACAACAACACAACAATCATTTTACCGAACGCTCAGTGGTTTCTCACCAGGGCCAGGTTTTCATGCTGGACGAGACAATACCCCCACTTCGTGGGGGGGCATTACAAGCTCTACCAAATATCCAAACGACTCTTCGCGACCACCCAAACCCAGCTTCCCGCCCTATGACTTTGGGACACTTCACTTCGTGGCGTGCGGACGACCGTGGCTACTACACTGGCGTGGGGTACACACCCACAGAACTTGGTCACTTATTCGGGGCGCGCGTGCCCAGCATCCTGCAATTGTGACATACAATACATGACACAGACAGACAGAGAGAGAGACAGAGAGCAGACAGAGAGAGAGACAGAGAGAGCGGAGTTGGTCACTTTTTTGGGGCAAGTTCCTGAGATCGTCGTGTTTTTTGTTGGTCTTGCGCGCGCGAATGTCCACTTTACTTTTTTTTGCAAGGGAGTATTGAAATTTGATTATGTTAGAACAAGAAAAAGTAGCTCGCGCGAGCTCATGTAACATAAATGTTGAAAAAACCATTGGTTTTGTGGGAGTCGGACAGCGCGCGCGGGATGAAATTTGGACATTTTTTTTTGAAAAACCATTGGGTTTTTGATGTTTTTATGTTGAAATCGTTACGAAACCTAAGGTTCTGGAAGGATTTCGTCTTGGCGCGCGCGAATGTCCACTTTACCTTATTTTTTGCAAGGGATTATTGAAATTTGATTATGTTAGAACAAGAAAAAGTAGCTCGCGCGAGCTCATGTAACATAATGTTGAAAAACCATTGGTTTTGTGGGATTCGGACAGCGCGCGCGGAAGGACATTTTGACAATTTTTTCTTAAAAAACCATTGGGTTTTTTGATGTTTTATGTTAAAATCGTTACGAAACCTAAGGTTTTGGAAGGATTTCGTCTTGCGCGCACGAATGTCCACTTTACCTTATTTTTTGCAA